CGAGTTTCATTCATGAATGAAAGTGCGTTTTTGAACGAATCTAGTGAGTCAGTGATTCATGATTACCCATTCATAAAGACAGTCACTTGCTTCATTCCTGAATGAATCAGCCTTTCGAACGAATCAATTGATTCAGTGATAAAATCAGTGACTTGCTGGTGGATTTAGTTTCATTTTTAGCGTATAATTTCAGTTATTTAAATCATTTAATATTTCTGTATTCAAAATTTTATAAATAAAACATTAATCTCCACATGAATGTATGAATTTAATTGCACTCATGCCACCTCTGAGCCTCATTAAACGTCTGAAAATGTACCTACAAGCCACTTTTGTCTTCTACTGTGCCACCTCTGTAGTACAACTTAATTTATTAATACTAATTTCATATGATTGGTAACTTATTTGTCTTATTCTACTTCTTATTATATTGTTTTAAATAGACATTTTAAAAAGCTTATAAACATACATTTTTTAATTTGACAGATGAAAATGATGCCACCTAATTTTTTTTAATTAGTAGGACAAGCGCTCCTAATTACAATAAGAAAAACACTGCTCTTAAACTGGGTGTGTGACGGGTATGGCTGTGGAATGGGGTTTGGCTGAGGAAAAATTCAGTCAAAAGATTTTTTTTGCTTTAACCCCATAATTTTCGCACATCAGGGAGCCGCTATCAATATGCGGGGTATTGAAATCGCATTTGAATTAGCGCTCGCTGTTTAATTTCACTTTCGATTTCGCGATATAGCGGCACTCTGTGTAAAGGGAGCTCATCTTACAGTGCGTGCATAATTATTATGCACATTGATATTCTGATCATATTTCTTTCCAAGCACATTTTACTGCTTTAAAAAGTCCTTGAAAGTCCTTGAATCTGGTGTTCATGAAAGAGTGGGAACCCTTGTAACCGAACACAGTAAGATAATGTGATGTTTGTCTTTTACAGCGCCTGAAGAACTGGGAGATCAGAGAGAGGAAAAAAGCAAGGGATTACAGTAAAGAAACAGAGAGAGAAGAGGAAAGACATAGAGAGATGGTAAGAATAAGTGGATAAAAACTATTAGCTAACAGAGTATATTTATACACATGATGATATAGGTAAAAACATTATTACTCTGAAATTTTTAATGTAAATGTTAAGTGTAAGTAGTGAAATGTTAAGTAATGTAAGGTCTTTCATGACACTACATATGCTGTGGTGTGAATTTGATAGGTGCTTGATATAAAATAAATGGTGCTTTAAAAAGTCCTTGAAAGTCCTTGAATCTGGTGTTCATGAAAGAGTGGGAACCCTTGTAACCGAACACAGTAAGATAATGTGATGTTTGTCTTTTACAGCGCCTGAAGAACTGGGAGATCAGAGAGAGGAAAAAAGCAAGGGATTACAGTAAAGAAACAGAGAGAGAAGAGGAAAGACAGAGAGAGATGGTAAGAATAAATGTATAAAAACTATTAGCTATCAGAGTCTATTTATACTCATGATGATAGAGGTAAAAACTTTTTTTTTTGCTATGTATTTTTGCTGAAATGGTTTTTTAAAAAAAAGTATTATTTTCTCCTCAGTTGGACGCACCATAATTTCAAGCAGCTGAATAGATTTAAACTGTTTAATGCAAGAAGTAATATGATTATGCATGTCTTTACTGTCACTTTTGATCAATTTAATGCATTCTTGCTGAATAAAAATATGAATTTCTTTTTTTTAATTTTTTTTAAGTATTTTTGTACCCAAGCCTTTGAACGGTAGTGTACATATATTTTTACTAAAACATATTTGCCATCTTTTTGTCTGATCTTTTTTTGTCACATTTTTGAGTCATAGTACAAGGAAGGAAATTAGTCTAATGACACACTCTGTAGGAAACTTAATGGCTACAAATTCATCAATATATGTCTTGGCCCTAATTAGTTGAGTGCGCACGCGTCTTTCACGCAGCATACAAGCGGTGTTGTGCATTTTGACCATTTGATAGGAAAAGTATTCTTAAAATGCATTCAAAATTCGGAATAATTTGTAATATATAATTATTCACGGTATTTAGAAGTGCCCACGATAACAATATCGTGCATATTCATTACCGTGATATATCGCATTACCGAATACCGGCACAAGTCTAGTTCCAAGAGAAAATTATTCAAATAAAACCCTTTTTTTCCGGCAGACTAAAGAAGCCAAGCGCCTGAAAGAGTTCCTGGAGGATTATGATGATGACAGAGATGATCCCAAATACTACAGGTACAAACCCAATGAAATGATGCAAATACTTACATGTCAAGGTTGTTGAATAACAGTAATGCAGTTTTTACTCTGCAAGATTATGAAAAAGCTCTCAAAATATAAATATTTTTAATTTATCATTTTACAGTAGGTGACCATAGTTGAAGAAAAACCCATATATTCTGTTGTGCTCAAATACATTATCTCGCCCTGTCTATAATTCTAGTCTTGCTCTCTTTTTGTCTGTCTCAGGGGCAGTGCATTGCAGAAGCGATTGAGAGAGAGAGAGAAAGAGGTGGAATTAGATGAGAGGGACAGAAAAAGAGAGAAAGATGAGTTGGAGGAGATCAGACAGAGACTCCTAGCAGAAGGACACCCAGACCCTGATGCTGAACTTCAGAGAGTGCGTATGTGTGTGCGTTTTTATGTCTGCATTCGTCTGCGTTTGTGCGTCTAACTTTGTTTTTTGCCTTAAAGATAGAACAGGAGGCCGAGAAACAGCGGCAGCCTCCTCTAAAGCAAGAGCAGAGCGAGGAGGTGCTGCACATCTCCCATGAGGAGCATCAGAGAAAAGAAGGCATGGAGCAAGAGGCGTACTCCTCAGACAATAACATCACAGACCGAGAGGAAGACGAAGAGGAGAATGATGATGACCGAGAGGTCAAGCCATGCTTGAAGCCCACACTCAGACCTGTTCCAACGGCGCCCTCTATCTCTTCAGCCAGTGGCAATGCCACGCCCCTCACACCTGGCAGCGAATCACCACACGGCGTCACGTTGCATGAGAACGCTTCACATGAGGCCCCGCCCACAGACGAGCTCAGGCCTAAAATAGGCCTCAGTCTCAAACTAGGTCTGTGTGTTACTTGAACGATATTTTCTGTAAGGAATTGACAAAAGCATTGGAGCTGATGTGCAACAAATTCAGATTTAGTGAGACATTTCTTATATAGGAATCGGAATATAGGAATTACTTTATTATTATACTTTATTATTATGATTGAGCTTGACCCCTAACCCTTGTTTTGAACATCTAAACCTCGATAGTATTTACTTCAGCCTGAACCACTGAACAACTCAGTTCTATCTATCTATCTATCTATCTATCTATCTATCTGTCTGTCTGTCCTATTTTTATTTAGTCTTATCTATTTTTATTTACACCACCGTTCAAAGGTTTGGCGTCTTTTATTTTTTAAAGAAATTAATACAGCAAGGATGCATTATTGATCGAAATTGACAGTAAAAACATTTATAATGTTACAAATGGTTTCTATTTCAAATTAATTCTGTTCTTTTGAACTCTCTTTATCAAAAAATCCTGAAAAAAAAAATCACTTTTTTTAATAGAAAACAGATGAAATTGTATTTGTAAATGTATTTTTGATCAAATAAATACAGCCTTGGTGAGCATAGGAGACTTTCTTTTAAAAACAAAACAAAAATCTTACTGACTCTAAATTTTGAATGGTAGTGTACATTGATAATATATTCAGTATTTAGAATTTTTTTTCAGAAAGTTTTTCTTCTCCTTTGCATCAAATGGTTTCAAACTACTTTTTGTCTCTCAGGTACTGCAGGCAGTCCTAAATTGCCCCAGGCAGGAAGACGAAAGGCTCTTGCTGCGGTGGACAGCGTCTTTAATAAGTTTGATGAGGAGGAGGCGGAGGAAGCACCCAAAAAGAGGAAGCTGGTACCTCTTGACTACAGTGAGGATGAGAGGGGAGGCCTTAGCCTAGATGGAGCAGAGGTCACAGGGTCACGGCCTGGTGTAAACACTGAAGAGAAACGAAAACATATCAAGAGTCTGATTGAGAAAATTCCCACAGTCAAACAAGAGCTGTTTAATTATCCACTGGACTGGAACATGGTGGACACGGTGAGAGAAAAGCTATTAGACAAGCTATTAGTGTGACTGCTTTAAATGGCTGTTTATTTGTATATTGTGGCTTATATCGAACAGTGTTTGTAGACACGTGTGCATGTAATGTATTGATGACTCTTTTGCCCACACAGACATTGATGGACAGGAGGATCCGCCCCTGGATCAATAAGAAAATCATAGAATACATTGGAGAAGAGGAAGCCACACTAGTTGACTTCGTCTGTTCAAAGGTGCGTGTTTCTGTCTGTATCTTAGTGGGAATATTGTCTGTTTTCCATTCTCTGTATTAATGTGTTTTGTCTTGTTGCAGGTCATGGCTCACAGCACGCCAGAGGGAATTCTGGATGATGTTGCCATGGTAAATAGCACATTTAAAAGTGGTTTGATATTTGCACATACTCCTAATAAATAATATTGGGTGAATCTCACAAAACCTGTCATGTCAGTATCATGTTTCACCATTATATTATATTATATTATATTATATTATATTATAATATAATATGATATTTAGAATATAGTATATTATATAAGTCAAATTTAATATTTCTTTTCATGACAATTAAGCACATTTCTCATTACCAAAGTGCCAGAGTTTCTCATTACCAAGGTAATTTTAACAATAAGCGTTTTGTAAAAACACAGTAACATTTTTTCTTTTCATGTTTTTGTTAGATTCACCCCTTTACTGTGTGGATAATCATTGGGTGTGTTTCCTACAGGTACTGGATGAGGAAGCAGAAGTGTTCATAGTGAAAATGTGGAGGCTTCTGATCTATGAAACAGAGGCCAAGAAAATCGGCCTGGTGAAATAACATGAACTGAGAGTGATAGAAACAAGCAGGAGAGAAGTGAATCTGGCTTCACTGTCCTGCTTTTAGAGCCTTTAACTTAAAGTATGGTGGATGAATACCACAGATTGATGCACTTCAACTCTTCCTATATACTCCAGAGGATTAACTGCACAGCTACTGGTGTGAATGAGTGTGTGAATGTGTGTGTGTGTGTGCATGTGCACACTGATGTGTGTGTGTGTATAATAGGCATGTGCCAGTTGGTCTGACTGCATTGCCAAAACCGTGTAAAAGTCGAAAGTTCTTTCATGCCCAGATTAAACGGGGAGTCTAGTTTGGTTGGCTGTTTTCCATTTGACTTAGTTGTAGGTTTTATTTAATTATTTTTTTCAGTCTCCAATTTTTAGCACAACCAATTTAAATCAGCGTACATTTTTTTCCTTTTATTATTTGAGTGAACTCCGTTAGATTTGACTGTACCTGCCTCATTATTACATTTTTGTGCTGTATTATTATACAAACAAACAATGTTTGAGTAAGGATTAAATATTTCACTGTAAACAAGCTGAATGAAGCCATACCTGTGGAGATATGGGATTTTCTCCAGGTTTGTCTGGTTTTGCGGCAGTGGTTTTGAATGTGGTGTATTTTGCACATACCAGCCCATCTGAAGGTTTGTTTCCATGGTGATTGATTTGACTTTGAAATATTAAAATGTCTGATTTTCTAAACTAGAACCACTTCTGTTGCTACTTTCATCTTTTTTGCTTTTATAATTCTCAGATTGAAATCGTTGCTGACCACAGGATTCACCGAAAACAAGTAACATTATATAATGCATTTCATTTTTATGACTTGATGGTTAATGCTAAACAAATCAGTGCTTCATTGAATTGGGGAGACTAGGGCAAGTTGTCACAGGGTAACTAGATTTTGAGTCGAAGGTTCAGATACTAAAAAAGTACTTTTTCTCTAATTTTGTTCTCTGGACAAAGAAATATTCATAAATGTCATGTTTGTTTTATACAATTTACAAATTAATTAATGAATGTATTTTTTGCCCAGCAGAAACGGTACATTTTCTATTTAATCTTGCAGTTCCATTAATTGTTTTGACCTTCATATTTTTTTGTTTAAATTTAGCTTAAAAGACGTTAAACAGCTGCTATATAATAGAGTATCTAATAGCAGGTTCCCATTGTGACAAATAAAAATTCAGCGTGTCAGTATAAGTTCCCTAGGTAATGATGGAAATGTTCAGTTGTCAGTCAATTGTTAAAAAAAAAAAAGCTATTAAAAACACATTTTTCTTTGTTGTCTATATTGCAGTTCTAGTGAAATTTCTAAGGGTGGCGCAGTTACTCAGGGATGCCGGTGAGCGCCTCTCCCCAACAAACAACTACATTTTGAGTGACTAATGCTAATTCAGAAACGTTCTATTCATTGTTTTTATTTAGCACATACGTTCTTCCTGTGAAAAAGGCCTGTGATGTATGAATCAACTTGGACTTTATGGAAATATCCAGTATCTTGTGGGCTGTGCGAGTAACAGGTGAGTGAACGACCATGTGATTTACGTACGTTACTGCTGGTGTAATAAACTGTTTAACTCGGAGCTTCACAACAATTGCCTGTGAAAAGAGAAAAAAAGATTTTACATCTATATATTTTTACCGCAGTTGTCAAACTGTAATCACAAAACTTTACGACAAGATAGAGCCAATATTTTCACCTTTTATAACCGATGTTTTGGTTACTGCACCACTGACGGAAAATTACAATTTGCGTTGCGCGAGAAAAACTTTTAAAAGGTATCAATAATAACAGAAGTGAGCCCGAAACAATATATATCAATCCATAGAAAAAGTCAATCCCCCCTTCTTTAAATTCGCTCTCTGTTCACTACTATTGGTCTTTTGTAAGTTGGGCAAAAGAGTTGCAAAAAACAGGTTGGAAATGGTAGGAAACACCAGGCTAAATATATTAATAAAGGATCGGGGGTTACAGAGAGAGAGAGAGAAAGAGAGGGTGGTGCACAGGGAGGAGTGGGGAGACCTGTTACTGCTGTTCCAACTGCGCGCTTTCACTGCGCAAAAGCGCACAGAACTGTTATCTGCTTGAATCAAGATGGCATTCTCTTGATTCTTTTTCTTATCAAAGCTTTTTTTCCAGACAAAATGTATTAATTTTACTCTCTTAGCATGTCTTTAGTATTTACGAAGTTGCTCAGAATCCTCTTTTGACATAAGAGGACCCTGCGTCTCCATGCGCCTTTTCTTACAACTCACCGTTCCTAACATTTAACGCCATTTAAATGTTTTGAGACTAGGGCTGCGAGGATGTGGACGCTACCGAGGACCCGGTTCGCGTACTGTAACGGCTCGTCGAGCAGCGACGACAAAGAAATCGCCGTAAACATCGGCGGCGTGAGGCTGGTGCTGTGCGGAGACATTCTGAACCGCTATCCGGACAGCAGGCTCGCCGAACTAGTGAACTGCTCAACTCGGAGTTTTGATGTAATTTCCTCGCTCTGCGATGATTACGACCCTGGAAAACGAGAATTCTACTTCGACAGAGATCCCGACTCGTTTAAATGCATCGTGGAAGTGTACTACTTTGGAGAGATCCATATGAAGCGCGGAATCTGCCCTATTTGTTTTATCAAAGAGATGGAGTTTTGGAAGATCGACTTGAGCTACTTGGACGAATGCTGCAAGAGTAACTTGACTGAGAAGGAGGAAGAGTTGGCAGAGATTGCAGACAAGGTGAAACTGATCCTGGATGATCTGGACTGTGACCCTAACGTGAGCCGCACTGAAAGGTGGCAGAAGTTCCTCTGGAAGTTCATGGAGAAACCAGAGTCCTCGCTCCCAGCACGCGTAATTGCCGTTGTGTCCTTCCTGTTCATCCTAGTGTCATCTGTGGTGATGTGTCTCGGGACCATACCGGACCTCCAGGTGGAGGACTCTGAGGGGAACCGCGTTGAGCACCCGACCCTAGATGCTATCGAGACGGCGTGCATCGGCTGGTTCACGGTAGAGTACGTGCTGCGCCTCGCATCGTCCCCAAACAAGGTGCGCTTCGTGCTCTCCTTCATGAACATGATAGACTTCTTGGCCATCCTGCCGTTCTACGTGGTGCTGGTTCTCACGTACCTCGGCACGGCCATGATGGAGCTGGCCAACGTGCAGCAGGCGGTGCAGGCGCTCCGCATCATGCGCATTGCGCGGATCTTCAAGCTAGCGCGCCATTCTTCTGGCCTGCAGACGCTCACGTACGCGCTCAAACGGAGCTTCAAGGAGCTGGGGCTGCTCCTCATGTACATGGGAGTGGGCATCTTCGTGTTCTCCGCTCTCGGGTACACCATGGAGCAGAGCCACCCGGAGACGCTGTTCAGAAGCATCCCGCAGTCCTTCTGGTGGGCCATCATCACCATGACCACCGTCGGCTATGGGGACATCTACCCAAAAACCACCCTAGGCCGGTGCAACGCGGCCATCAGCTTCCTGTGCGGGGTGATCGCCATAGCGCTGCCCATCCACCCCATCATCAACAATTTCGTCATCTATTACAACAAGCAGAAGGTGCTAGAAACCGCCGCCAAGCACGAACTGGAACTCATGGAGCTGCGCGAGCTCGAGCTCGCGGTAAGAAGCTCCTCGCGCCGGTCTGACGCGCCCGGGAACGCGTGGGAAGGTGCCTTGCGCGCGTCGCGTAGCGATACATACATCCCGCTACTTTCGGGAGCGCACAGAACTGAGAGGGAGCCCGTGAAGAAGAAAAGCCTGACTTAGGCCAAAAGTGAAAGAAACTTGCAAAGCACTTTAAGTTTCACGAGAGCTAGTGTTATTTTGGTCATTGTGCGCTATAAACTGCTGTGCTGCAGTGTGACCGTCAAGCTGCTTGTGGTGTTTTCACTGGACATCAAAAGTCAGTTCCTCTTCAAAAGTGTTATTTTGTCTTTATTAAAATAAAGTGCATGTCAAACTTCACGCGTATGTGTTTTAGATAACCAAAATATTTACATCAACATAATCAGAATCTATATATATATATATATATATATATATAATTTATTTATTATTTTCCTCAAATGCAGATTTTATTGGTTGCTAGGAAGCAACTGTCTGATGACAAACACCAACCGTCTGTCTATTTTTATAATACTGGTGTTTTTTTTCCCATTCTCAGTATTATAAGGACTTACAAGCATGTAGACATGAGAGAGATATTCTCAGACATTCTTTTCTGGAAGGAAGAGTGTGCAACTCAGGTGTTGGCGGAGCTACAGGTGAGTCTTGCCTTTTAAGCAATGAATCTTCAAATTAAATAATTTACACAGTCCTCAACTTTCTCGTTCTCTCTCTTCCTCTATATCTGTCTCCTAACCTCTGCACAGTGATCAGATTTCAAGTGGTCAGTGCTAAATACAGTTTTAAATGGGGTCCAAAACCAATTGTGATTACTTGCAGCACATTTGGAGGTACTCAGAAATGCATGTAACCACATTGCATTTAGTGTAAAATAACAGTATTTGTCCTTGCATTATAGTGTTGTTCACAAGTGCACTATTTGCTCAGGTTTGCTTAAAAGCACACTGCTCCTTTGCAAGCGGTCAGCACAACAGGTGTTTGAAAAGTGAGCTGAGATTCTGAAATGTTGCTTTTTCAACCATTTTGCTTTACGTCTTGAGAGAGTTTTACTCTCATCCTTATGTTGCCGTTTCCTGATGTCCAATTCCTGACTCAACATTCCAGCACAGAGATAAAAACAAATGAGTCACAGAATCCACCCAAACATGCCGGAATTCAGTGAAGGGCCACTGGAGGCTAAGAATAGGACCCCTAGCATGATGTGGGCTGGTGTCAGTCATGAAAACCGATACTGAGCGTTTATGGAGGGAATGTGTGTCTGGTTGTTATATAGAGAAGCATTTGAACATGTCTGCACGGCAGGGGGTTCTCACATACACCCTCGACACGCTCCGACAAGATGGCTGCCCTGGCACCTACAAGCGTGATGAGATAGCTGACATGGTTTAGATTCGCAGCCTGAGGAGTATGGGTGTGCTCCTGTGTGGGTTTGTGTGAATAGTTGAAAGGTTTCTTTTGGGGTGTACGTTTATTTCGTTCTCTGCAATGTGTACTTCGTTTGTATAACAGTTTTAGTGTTTCTGATAGTTGATATTGAATATTGTTGATTTGATTTTTGTACATGTACAGGTTTGAAGCTTTAATTCTTGCACAGTGAGTTGAGCCCACCTCTGCGGTCCTCTGATTCAGTGTTCTCCTAGTATTCCAGTCCATCCAGTCAGCTCTCTTGGGCTCCCATCACCATCACTATGGTTAGAGAACATCTGCCAATTAACAGGATCTAAACCAAGCTCAGCCATAAGGATGCCACCAAGTTCTGTTTCCATCTGGAACTGTTGTGATGTTCTGATTGAGAATAAGAGAATACATTGTCTTAATTTTCTTACCCCATTGGTAACTTTTTTTATGCTTAATCAAATGTTTATTCTTTAAAAAAAAAAGGTCAATGGAGTAAGAAAAATGTATACCTTAAAGATTTAAAGACATTTACATTTAAACCATATTGCTTCTTTACAGTGTATGAGTGAATTACAGTGCAGTTAAGAGAATGAGTGAAATTCTGCCTACAATGTGAACATATTTGCAAATTACAAGTATGCATATGGCTGAAGTTTTGTACATGTGAGTGCATGCGCATTGCATGTCTCACATAAGCATTGGACCATGAGATTGAGTGGCCATTCTTGTGCTGTAATCCCTGCAGGCACCAGAGCATTCACACTTCATCCTCATTGTGAAAGTGACTGCATGCTTTATAGCTCAAGATTACACTTTCCAGTTAGTGCTGACATGATTACAGCTGTTCCACTTGCTGAAATAGTTTGAGAGCGTGCTTGCGTGTTCACAGCTGAGTATATTTTAACCAGAAAGTTTTTTCCTCATGACTGCACACAGGTTAGAAACGTGAAGTGTATTTATGAGAGGCAAAAAAAAAAAGACAGCAGCTACTGTTGATTTACTCTAATATTTTAATATTAGATACTATTATTTTGTAACTTTTGCTCACGAAATACTAGTATTGGTACTTTTAGTCAGCTCAATTTTGTTCACTCACAGCAGAGAATAAATGTTTTTGACAAAGGCTATAAGAGAATAATGCACTGCTGAAAGTGGCATTCCCTTGCTGAAAGAATCTGAACAATTTTTTCACTCATTTATCTATGCAATTTATTCATTCCATCTATTCCGTTATCTGCCATTAGGTGACTCAAGTGTTTTGTTGACATTTAAACATCCAGTTCTGTGTACTCTCAAGCACTTAATGGCATTTAATGTTTTGCT